TTCTTTTTTTGCTTCTCTTTACATTGCATTTTTCTTTTCTTTTTTTAACTGCACAACGATTTGATTGAATGAATACATTTTTCAATATTCTTTTTTTTTTTTAATTTGAGCTGCTTTCGCTGAGTTAATTTAGTTCATAAAATATATTTACTCACTGAGAAGAGGGGTTATGAAAGATCATTACGAAACGATACGATAAATAGGAGAAAGTTTTTTAGCACTTAAGTATTAAATTTTTAACAACGACGTCATATATTTTTCAATTGTAATAATCTATGAAAAAATTGAGAATGCCAGCTATGATATTACAACTGATTAACCTTATATTACAATTGGTTAATAGGTTTAAAGTCAGAAAGTTTAAAAAAAAAATGAAACTATTTTTCTTTTTTTAAAAGTTTTTAAGGTTACTTTCCCTCCGCTTTTTTCTGACTGTTTGACTTGTCTAAAATCGTTTCTTGCAAAAGCTTTCAAAAATTCCAAATACCTAAAGAGATATGCATGATATTACAAGATATTCTAAAATCGATGTTAGATTAATATTTAAACGCGTTTTTTATATATACTTTAGTATTAATAAAGTGAAGTACAATGTGGAACCCAGAAGAATGAGTTCATGCAATGTAATACTCTGAAACAGTATACGGAGGACAATGTGGAAGGACAGTGTGGAATTACGAAACGGTGCAATCGTGCAAGTGAAGGACAATGTGAAACTCCGAAGTAGTTCGTATTGTATTGTCGAACCACCTGGCCATTTCAGATCGCAAGTTTTTAAACAATAGAAGGAAAAGTTTTCAGGCTGGATTCCCTTACTCTAATATAGGCCATGACATCTATATTAATCAATATAATTTGAGACGTGATGGCTCAGGGGATAGAGCGTGTGCCTTCCAATGAGGAGAATCGGGTTCGAATGCCAGCGACAGCTGGTTGCACCGACCACAGTGCTGACGTAAAAAATATCTTCAGCGGTAGATGGATCATGGGTTCGAGTTCTCTTGCCATCAGGTTAACCGTGTGAGGTTTTCCTCACCATGTAACGTAAATGAGGGTTAGTTCCATCAAAAAAACCTCCACGAAGGCAAATTTCTCTCAATACTTGATCCAGGATTTACATTGTCTTCTGGATTGGGTTCAAAATTACAAGGCATTAAATGAACATTAGTATTCGTAAACCCAAAATTGGGTCTGCTGTTCAACGACTGTTATAAAATCAAATCAATATAACTTATGATGAATAGCGTTTTGAGTATTAATGATTTAATATTGGTTATTGCATTATTTTTTCTACTATTTTTATATGCTATTTTTAATTAGAAGAGTCAATTCAAAAAGTGGAAGAAGAAAAAAGTTTTATTATGAAATGTTCTTGAAAATGAAACAAATATTTGAAACATCTTTACTGTGTTACAATTCATTAATATAAATAAATAAAATAGAAATCTTGATGGATACACGTCTAACTAAGGAAAAGTATTTTAAAACAGCAGTGTTTTTCACTCATAAATGTGTACTTTAGTTTATATGATAAAATACAATAGTTATATGCTGAAATATAAGAAAAGTTCTTGTTAACAATAAATAATTTATTTCGTAGAATCTAAGCTACATGGTCTTCTGAATTCGTTCTCAAATTCGTGGAGCCATTTATTTCCAACTGAAAAACAAAATGATATGTTAGTGCATAATAAAAGAGAAAGAATTTTTAAACGCTTTCCTTACCTATCACGCTATATCGCGTTACGAAAAAATTCTCTATAATTGGTTTGTGTCTATAATTGGTACCAAGGTGTATATTATATCCAGGTCCTGCACTAAGGATTTCAAATTATTAGCAAGTAAATTAGCTAAATATCAAAAGTTTTCTCCAATTTTCGAAAGTCTTCACCCAATGCAACAATTAACAATTTTTTATGAATAATTTTCTTCCCATGGAATTATTTAACGGGGTTTAATCTGTATTTTACGACAGTTTGTTTCAGGTTTATATTATTTGGGCTCAATTCTAATTGGTTATACTGAAAATTACTGTAATAGGAAGAAAAAAAATTCTGATTTGCTTTGAAAAATTCATTTTGAAGAATATTTGAGAATCGAGAATAAATATATATTTTTTCTTTCCAGTGGAAAAAAATCATCAGCCAAAACACAATTTTATTCCTCAAATTTACTATTTTATCGAATTTGACTTAGTGGCGAGTGCTTAGCGCAGGTGATTATCATCCAACTATTTTTTGCAGAAAATATGTTTTTTGATGATAATTACACACGTGTTCATTAAAATAACTTTATTAAACTTATTGTAAAATTTTGCTAAAAATGGTTGTTAAGAGAAGAAAATTCTACTTTGAAAATTCAATCTTTCAGCTTTCCATTTTACAATGATAATAGTTTAACTACCTGCATTCTGTTTGCAATGAACGCGGTAAGATTGAATTCTTTGAAGCTTGTAAAGTGTCCATCAGTTATGATATTACGCAAGTTATATCGAACGAACAAGATTCGTTTATAAAAAATTACATTATTTTAGTTCTTTAATGCAGATAACACCAGCGAACATATTTTTTTGTTGCAGTTATACAAGTACTTGATCTTTTCTAGTTTGGGTGTGGCGATTTCAATTCCAAAATTATTCAGAATTCTGTTTTTAAAGCTACAGATTACTTTTCAAAATATTAATTTTAGTTTTGTTTATTTTATTTATTTATTTATTATTATTATTTTTTTTCTGAATGTATAAGTTCNAAAAACTATATAAATAAATATTTGTATTAGCTATTTTATGTGAAAGCATAAAATAAGGCCGCCAACTTGATATCATTGCTTAATTAAATATATAAACATGAGTTCGAATTTTCAATATGTCATGGTAGGTAGAATAATTGTTTCCAAATTTTAAAACCAATCAAAAGTAGTATAAGTCTTCTAAACTAATTCTCTATGTAAACAATTCTTCTTTCTGCTGCAAATGTTTTGAAAGATTTTTCAAGGCAAAACAGTTGGCAAGATTAGAACAATTTTGTTTGAAACTTTGAGAAATGGTGTCATACAAATTCGGATCGAATAAAGTGAGCGTAGGAAGTTAATAATTTCTTTCTAGTTCTAATATCATCAATTTTAAAACTGAACTGAAGTTGAAATGGGCCACCCGGGCAGTTTGCGGCTCTTTTTACTCCCCAATTTTTAATTTTAATTGTATCGAGGGTCCTGCCATATTGGCAGAGATGCCAACTGCTCAGGATTCGACAAAATATTTAAAAAAAAAAAAAAAAAATGGAAGAGAACTATAAACAGAAATTTGCAAATTTTGGATTAAAGTTGCCAATTTTTTAGAAAAGCTCAACACTGCTGAACTGTAATAAAGTGGTGTATCATATAAGAATTGAATTATTTAGAAGTAACGGTGAGTTAAAACCCTGTTAGTCGAAATCACTAAACCAAGGATTAAACGTAAAAGGACTACCACTCGAAAATATTCATACGCTGTCCGAGAGCATGTTGGCAGTATTATTTTTTGCCTATTCGAATTATTTATCTAAGTCACAGTCCAGTGAAGGGCTTTAATTCATTCATCTGTATTGGTTACGTATAATATTGCCGAGGCACATTTGAGTTGAGCTGCTACAATCCTTTTCCTATTCATCTTTAACACGCTAATTTTACGTGGCTTGCTCGAGTGGCCAACTACAAACTAAATTTGCAAATGCAAATATCAGACATATTTTGCTAAATAAAAGGATCAGCACGACATAGCAGAAAAAGTGGTGAATTATATAAGCCTACGAATTGTTTGGAAATAGTGGCGGATAAAAATCTACTGTATTGAATTTATTGGACCCAGAATCACAATTAATAAACTACCACTTGAAAATATTCATTCGCTGTCTGGAGCAAGTTGGAATCTCTGTGTATATAAATAAAACTATTTTTGTGTGTTCTATATTGCATTAATTTCTTCAAACGATTTTAATAACGATAATAATATAAAAAATTTAAAATTTACTCGATTTGCGTGTTTTTGATAATCTTGGCATCGCCGGTCACCGGTGACCCCCGTGGTGCTACGAACAAACTCAGTGCCGATCACCGGTGACCCCCATGGCGTTCAACGTGTTAACTTGATCATAATGGCGTTTCGATGAGGTGGTGGAATGCAAATGAAGTAAAGGAATATTCATGTGCATAGATAATCATTGAGTTCCGACTGTGTAGTTATATGCAGTAGGGTGGAGTTTCTGGAGGGACTTTATATGTAAGAATGGTTTTAGAATTGTAGTGATATTGAAAAAGTGAAGAAGCTTTAAACTTCGCTCTATCGTCGATGCATATTTCGCACGAGTATACATTTTTAAAAGCTTCAGGTATGGACTGTCAACTTGTGCCTACAGCTTTGCCGCGTAATATGTTTCCAAAACGTTTGCTGCAAAAAGAAAAATTGTTAACATAGAATTAGTACAAGAGGTGTTTCTACTAATTTGATTGACCCCTTTATAGGTTTCTTACACTAATAAAAAAAAATTTCTCGTCGACAATACAAGCTGGTAGCTATGGCATCAGCTCTAGATTTTGTCATCAAATGTAACAGAAACATCACACATGCAACGAAATAAATAATTACTAGGACTGTTGAGAATAAAAAATAATAATTGAAGAGCTGAGTGGATTGAGGGTTATACGCTGATCATAGAGAATAAGATTGGATGAATCGAATAATTAAAAAAAAAAAGAATAGAATTAAAAGCGTGTTTTGAATTTTCTACCTTCAATCCGACGGCAAGAGGGCTTTTAGAAAAAAAAAATATGCAGGGTTTGCTTTTGTGATAAATGCATCTTTAGAATTTTTTACCTTCAGTTCAAAGGAAAGAGGCCTCTTAAGAAAAGAAAAAAGATGGGATTTGCTTCTGTAATAAAAGCATCTTCAAAATTTTCTACATGCAGTTCAAAGGGAAGATGCCTCTTAAGAAGAAAGAAAAGAAAAAGAAGACTTACTTCTGAGATAAAATGCATATTAGTTATTTTAAAAACTTAGTTAATTGATTTTTAAACAAAAAGTATCTTACGTAAAATATCCAGGTTGCCATTCTGTTTCCTGAGAGGCGGAACATTTCAATTCTGTCACCAACCTTGGGGGCAAAATATTAAAATAAAATACCAGCAAAAACATAAATTATTTCGATTCTATAAAAGTCTGATCATAGGGAATATCAGCTTCTAATTTTTTTCATTCACATGTATTTATTTATTATTATTATTTTCTTTAAAACTTTTATTCAGATCGTCTTAAAATTAGTTCTTAACTGTTAAATAAATAATCTCAAGAAACTGAAGCATTAATATATTACTTGATTAGGAACTTCATTCGCTTCAAAAATATACAAATTGGAAATAACATTAGACATGTTTCAACCGTTCAAAAACAGGCGCCCATTTTCAAGACTTGTCAGAAGTGAATAGAGGAAACAAAAGTGATTTGAGGAATAAAACAAATCTTCTTTTCACATTGACGCCTGGCAAATCTTGAAAATGAGAGCTAGTTTTTGAGCAATTGAAACATGTCGACTGTTATTTCCAATTTGTATATTTTTGAAGCGACTGAAGTTCTTAATAAAGTTTAAATTTAAACTTAAACTGTATCAGCACCTGAGGCCGTTTGCGGCCCTTTTCTCATTCATCTTCAGCTTGATCTTTGTGGTGCTTCGATGAGATTGTGGAATGCAAATGAAGTAAATGAGTAGGTTCTGACTGTGTAATTATACGCAGTAGGATGATAAGACTATATTGTAAAAGTATGGACTTTAGCTAAGCTGATATGAGGAAAATGAGGTTATGTATATTCTATTGATGTCGGGAATATGATGCATCACTGCAATATTGTGCTGCTATTGGTCTGATGTTCTGGTCCTCGGTTAAATTTTCTAATAAGAATATTACATTGAAGTAGAGCAAGAGGTGGCTTTTTCGTAGAATTCGTTATTTAATTTAGCTATAAGTTTGTCTATTGCATCTATTTTGAGGTATCATTTCTTACAAACCATCTGGCTTTTGTTATCCTTCTTAATATTTTATTAGGGCAGACTATTAATTTATTTAACTGAGTTTGTGTTATATTTGTAAAGACTGGTGAAGCATAAATAAAGTTATAAGTATGGCTGAAAGCTCTTATATAGCAAGACCGAAAAGAGCAAAAACTGGAACGAAAGACATTTCATTTTAGCGTTTTCTACGAGAAAAATAAAATATTTGTAACTATTAAAATTTCTTTTATAATTTTAGCATTTATATTAAAAATGCCTCTTTCCCAACATAAAGTCGAACTCCATTTTGCTCCCTTAGTCTAATTTCAGGATGAATGGGAAAAAGGCCGTAAAACCTCAGACTCCCAGTTCCACTACAACGAACGAATGAACTCAACAGAAAGTAGATATTGTTGAATAGTTTTAAAAAAGGAATAAGTAAACTGGAATGTTAAGTAAACCCGAAAACTAGCTATAACTGAAATGGTTTTACTACCATCCTTTCCTCTTTTCAGTCTCGCTTTCACTCCTGGTTATAGGTCTAAACTGCTTTATTTTTCATTGATACAGGGTTTACATAGATGTATCATTTTTATTTAGATTTCAGATTGTAGGTTTGATCGCTACATTATTTGTAACGATAAATGCATTTAATTATTAGGTGGAAAGATAAGCAATTTTCAGTGCCTCCAGTCCGGACTGTAAATCAATTTTTTTTACACAATAGAGACCCAAATTTCTATTTTATTTTTTATCAAACATTAATTATAAATACATTTTAGCTTTGGATTGAATATGTCGAAAGAATGAAGGAAATAGGTATGCTCATGAAAATCACGAAAAAAAATAAACACGAAAAGAAGAAAATGAAAACTAAGATGGCTGGATCAGGTTGAGAAAGACCTGAAAAAAATAGAGATAAAAGACTGGGTAAAAAGAAAAAAATCTGGGGAGAGTGACGCGGAACAAAATTCACCAAGGGCTGTAGAGGTGAAAAAGAGAAAGAATTATAAACAATTAAAAATTAAACATTTTTTTAATAATTTATTTAAAAACACAGTACTGTTTATAAGGGAATTGTCACTGTCTGCTCTTTTTTGGGTGCTGCTTTGTAATATATTCTTAATTTCAAATTTACCAATGAGACTATTGATTTTTACATACGTTTTCCGTTGTTTTTTTTTTTGTAGCGTAGCTGTCGATTGTTATGATTTTTAACCCTTAGATTACCATTTTTTCGTTTTGTTTGGAGTCCTTTTTAAATCTTAAGTTTTTTCAACAGGAAACATCTTAAAAATAATTATAAACAGTTATAGACACACGAAATCAGTTTCTAGATACTAAGGTCTCTTATGGCGTAGGCTAGTTGAACCTAACATTCCATCAGTTCAAGCTGATTCCAATACACCATTTTTTTTGTCGCTGAAGTAAGATAGGTAAGTGCATGGTTACATTTTTTCCCCGAAGCAGATACAGAAGACGGTATTTGTTTTTGATTTCTAAACTTAAGAATCGAAATTAAAACGTTTATTTTTAATAACAAAATGCATTCAAAAGCATTTCGACTCTTCAAGTTTGTCTCTTCTGTAATGTTTTTTTTTAATATTTGTATTATTGTAGTCATTAATCTTTTTTAAAAAGTTAAGTTGTTTATTTATTTATTTGCCTAGAAGGGACTAAGAATTTCAGTCTTAGGACAGTTTAGGTAAAATATAAAAGAAAAGAACAAAAATTGCACTTAACCTTTAAATATCAAAGTGAGAAATGCTAAACAGAAGCTTTAAAAACACCAGCATCGGAAATACCTAGTAAGTGTAAACCGAGCAATAGCCCATATATCTTTGCTGGGTAATTACACCGTATTATCCGGTTCACCTATTAATAATAACCTAACCTATTAATAATAACCCAGTCTTTTGGTAAATATGGTAAAAAAATACAATAATTACAAATTATAAAAATACAATATTCACCTGAGCGAAATCAAAGTGTGGATCGTAATGGCCACCGATTCCGTAGTTGATGATGTGTATTGGTTCAGCAGTCCTGATGGAAATACCAGTGACATCTTGTATTCTTCTATTAATACGTGCTATAACTTTGTGCTCATAATCTTCTAAAGTACAGCTGAAATAAAGTATATCTCATTTTATATGTTCGAATGCAAACTGGTGAAATGCTTTGTAAAAAAGTTTTTGAAGTGTTTACAAAGATATTTTGCGATCGAATTAAACACTGCTGTGGAGTCATGGATCGACGAGTCAGATTTTATAAAGATGTGATCGACTTCGATTAATTAGAAGTTAGATTTTCAATAGTTAAAAGAAATCTTTGACCGTACACTGTCTATCATAAATTAGGAAAAAAGCACAAGTTTTTGCTCTGTAGCTGTAGAGGCTGTTGGTTGCGTCAGCTCAGATAGAATGAAAAACTGAGGTAGAAGGATCGAGGATGGGAACGAAGATCGAAGGAAGGAGGACGAACCGAAATAGTTCCTGCGCGGATGAATATCGGCGGAGGAGCATCAACCGGCGGCCAAGGCAGGGAGTGAAAAGGCTGAAGTCCAGTATTTAAGCAGATGACAGTTTACCTTCGAGAGAGGTTGTTGTGCAGCGTCCGAGACTTCGTCCCGATATCCCATTTCTTCCCGGTGACGCCCACCTGCAGTATGCGACATTTACAATCAAAAGTTTAAGTTTTTAATTGTTCTTTTTAATAACAACTTTTAATGTTTTTAAAGAATAACTTGTTAATTGGAGTTTGTGAAGTTTCGTAGATGGTTTGCTATCTTTCAATATTAAAGAGGATGTTTCTTTGCCATATTGTTTCATTTTTGAAAGTCTTACATTCCCATCACCGAACCATATAGTAGCATTGAATCATCACCTATTGCACCTGTAAAAGGGTGCACATGAACGTCAAGATCACATGATCTATACACGTGAGAAATCACGATTCCACGTGGAAACACATTCAATTCTGTGCGTTCACCCAAAGAGATAATATCCTACACAGTCACTGCCTCTTTGGTAGGTTTCTCTTTCACAGATGTTTGATGGCTGATATTGGGTTCCAGGTTTTCTTCAATTCAAAAAAACGTCTATTATCGCTTTAGAGGTTAAACCAGGACTCATCTGTGAAGAGACCAGCCTCCATTGGTCAGCCGTCCAGTGGACATGTCGCTACGCAAATGTTCTTTTCTATGGTGTGACGAGATTGGTACGCAAATGGTTTCTTGCCTAGCGAACAAAACACGTTCGTGAAGTCTTCTACGCACAGAGACAATGACACCAATCTTCCGATGGATGGACTAAGAGAGGATCTGAGCTGACTCGGAGTTACAGTTCTATTCCTTCATGCGCATAATAATGATCAGTAATCAGCATTCATCGTAGCTGTCCTTTGCTGAACCTTCTGGTTAGAATACCTTTGGTTATAAATTATTGACGAAATCTATGAATCACGGAAGGACTTGCTTTTAGCCAACTGGCCATTACTTTGTCCTGCCTCTAGTCTTCCAATTAATCTCCATTGCAGTTCTTTTCGCAAATGATGCCTGGAAGTCATTATTACGAATTTTCTATCTCAAATTTCTAATTTCCGAAACACAGCGAAACTCGCTGGCTTGCGTTCAAATAAATAAATGCTCATCACAGATGACGTCATTCCATTGCAGCGCCAATGATTTGCATACTATAGTTTTACTTAGGAACACTCATTAGACAACATATTCAAATTTTATTGGGATTGACTTATTTTTGGAAGAGATATCACTATTTTTGTAATTTTTCCTTGATTTATGATTGCCAGTGAATAAAAACTATTTAGACAAATATTTAAAACTGTCAACTTGGAACAGCTATGGAAACATGTTTGAAAGTAATTAGATACTTTTAAACTATCTATAATTGAAATTATCTAGGAATAGTCTACAAAAAGGAGCTATTGATGAAAAAAAAACAAAGAACTATTTATTTATAGCTTTTGGGACTAGTTTCTGGTCAGGACCAATGAAAATAGTCAAATCTCATTCAAATTTCTATTTTTACAACATGCTTTTTACTTGTTTAAACATGTTTGGATGCTTTGTAGCTAATCCAAATAGCTTAGAATACATTTAATAACGTTGGAAAATTTAAGGAAAGCAAACTAATATGTAGAAATTAACACATATTGTGTGGCCCGCCAACTTCTTATTGAGGCTGATCGGCCTCAGTTTTCCCTTTAAAAAGTAAGCAAATTGTTTTATAATCCTTCTGTTCAATTGTTTTATAATTAATAATTCAGCTATTAATTGTTATTGTATAAGAGGTAAGAGGTTATTGCTCAACTTTTTCACATTGCGGCCCTCCGGGTGATCAGTGACCGGAATTCTGGCCCGTGGGCTCTTTGCAGTTGGACAGCCCTGCTATATATGATACTCTAAGCCGTGAACGAAGAACTGCGTGATCACGTACATATGATAATTGTTCTGAAAAGGTTAAGAATGTCGAAATCATTAAAAAAACTCAACTTTAAAGTTGTTTCTGAAACTTTTATGTCCAAGTACAGTAGTAAAACATGGCAAATAGAGTTACTTGAACATACATTGTAAATCGGTATGTATCACATAACATTAAGAAGTCTTTTCAAAATTCAAGGGTTTTAACTTATGCGTTTTTTGCGCAAGCAAATGAAATGTAAGTTATCAGTAGTGTACTCACCTTTTGCTTATTCTATCATTGGTAACTTCAATTTGACCAGTGATTGTGTCCTGAACAACTGCTCTTGCCAGCTGTAAATTAATAATACGTATTATTACGTATTAAGACAAAGTATAAATTGATAGTTGAATGAAAAAACTGAGGAACAATTATTTTGTTGCAGTTGCGCAAGTACTTAATCTTACCTAATTTTTGTGTCGAAAATTTCAAATTAAAAATTAATAATTTTTTTATATATTTTTTTTACAGTTAAAGTCACTGATTTATTTTAAAATGATATTTTTAGATTAGTTTTTGAAGTTATACTTCTTATGCGACTTCCAACAAGGTTGCGTTAAACGTTTAACGCTGCATTTTTATTGACCGGGAAATCACGTGGTAGGATTCAGTTTTCCCTCATTCATTTCCATATTGTTTTGGTTCACACTAGCATAAAAGTATTGTTTTTCTATAAATATTTTTTTAGTTTGATTTGATACACATGCAATTTAATAGGATAGTATTTTTTATTTTTTTTTCAAATTTAGTGTTTAACAATTGTAAAATATGAGTGAAAACAATCCCACGGACAATGCGACGGATTTAAGGTTATGACAAGGTACACCTCTTGTGAATATCAATTGATTGTTAGGTTTTCTCTTTTGAAGTTACATTATGACGCATTCAAATACATTATTAATACAAATACATTTTCCATGGCGAGACGATGAGGCAACCACAAGCACTTCCACTGGTTCAAGAGGTCCACGAAGGAAAAATGCACAATATTACCGTTATTACAGAGCACGGAAGCGAGCAGAGCAGAAAAAAGAGTCGTTGAATAGAACTAGTGATCCTTCTACGACTGCTGATTCTTCTACAATTAACGTAGCAGGTTACGAAGTTTAACTTCTTCTACGCGGATGGACTCCACGCACTATTTTTTTTCTTAGTGTAAATGTTTATAAAGAACGAATAGATTTACATACATGCATATACACTTGCCTGCTCCCTTAAAAACAACACCTAATACCAAAAAAAAAGAACATGGGACCGTAACATATTGCAAATACATTATCGTCTCCTTCCTAACATCACACCCTACGTACTAGAGGGGTGAAGACATTTAGTATTGACTCGAGTGAAGCAATAACAAAGTACCATGAAAATCTCATGCAACAGAAAACAAACAACAACAAAATGTTCCCCAGTGTAATTCTTTTAAAAATCATACCAATGGCGTTGCAATAGCTTTGGTAAGGTTTATCTCTCTTTCTGTTATGACCTCGTGAAAAACGACTATTCTTGGATCGAAAGAGAGCACTTCAACTTTAATGGGTCCCAATAAGAAGTAGCCATTTTTGTTGGTTTCATAATAGCAGTGCAACTTACTTTTTACCTCTTGCGTTTGAAGGTCTGAAATAAAAGTTATACTTTAGAAATTATAAATCAATCATTTTTGCATTATGTCAATAAAAAGAAAGTTTAAGCGATTGTAAGAATTAAATCCGTTTTTGTTCTTTAATGTGAAACTCCATTCTTTGCTTTTTAACGGGCTACATCTACATTTTACGAAATAAAATTAAGAAAAAACCAAATAAGGAAATTGATAAAAAAATCGAGTAGAATTGCAATGAGGGGTAATACATATACTCATAATTTTATTTCTAAGCAGTTATGGGTACAAGCTTGGCCAAAGAATACGTGAGAAGGCCTTTCCATTTCCCTTCTAACCTTCAGTAAGAGTTCGGCCCAAATATGGATGAAATATAGAGCACTTCCAAAACCAGTTGCACTGTCTCCCCAACATTTTTGGTGGGGGTACCCTGGGGTGCTAAGTAACCCGAAACTAATCGACTAACCACTGTCACGAAAGGGGGATTGCAACCTGCGGGGGTCAACTAGCTTTCAAAAGATATCAGAAGAAACTCACTCTACATCTTATATTCTGCTTTTTCTCTTTCTAAGAAAAACTTAAAAAATATTTTTTTAACACTAAAACGGCTTTATTTATTTTCAAAATGGTTTTATCATTTTATTTAATATGCACTTTTTCTAATTATATCTTGAATTGTTCATTATTTTGATTTGATTATTTAGAGAACTAATAATAACCAGAATATTTAAATTTATAAAATTTTACTATGTAGTCATATGAAAGTAATTCATATAAAGCAACTACATTAAAAATACATTTTTATTTTCTCTATAAATCAAATAAAGTTTGTTAGTTTCTTTCAAAATTTATTTGCTAATTTGTAAAACTTTTTATGTTAAAGTAAAACCTTGAGTTTAAGATTTTATTTTTTTACTACTTATTTAATTTTTTTCTTTCAATTAGAATTGAAATACAAATATTTTTCACAACCTTTTTTTCAATTTTAATTAATTTTTTTAAATTATTTTAAAAGATTGTTATACCGTTTTGAAACTAATTCAATCCCCTAAACTTTTTTGTTTTTATCTCGGCCATAGTAGGGCGCATTCGGCTTAACAAAAACATGCGCTTAGAGACCAAGACAGGGGCGTTTAAAATTTGCTGTAATAGACCAGAATATTTTTATCTAGAATCCGTATTAGCTTTCAATATATCATTTTAAAGTGTAACACTTATAGACTAGAAATGTAGGCCGAAGACTCGAGTGTTTAAACTTCATTGATTAAAAAAACGTTTACACTATTTATTCATTTCTAAACCTTTATATGTTTACTAGATTAAAAAACACTTAAAAGTCATGAACAAAATTATACAGCTTTGATATAATTATTATTGATGAGAAATGGTGGAAGTAAATAAAATTTACCATCAAAACTTAATTTAACCCTTTTGAAGGCCGTGGTAAGTATACTTACCACCACGTTTTACCACTTTTAATTTAGGTTTCCATTTTTCAATAACTTCAGCTTTCTTGAAGTGAGTTTAAATAAAATTGGTAGCCATTTGTCACTTTCAAAAAACGTATAAAAGTTATAAAATACATAATTCCTTTTGAAGTTTGTAGCATGTAAGGAATTTATTTTATAAATAAAGAAAAATGAAAGTCAGTAAGTTCCTAATAGGTCATGTTAAATATATTTACCACCAAAAGAATGTCATTTTTATAAACTAAATGAGTTTTTTTTTATATCAATTACTGTTCTTAAAACAATTTCAATTCCAAAAATACTTTAATTTAGCTTCACTAGAAATAAAGGGCCCATTAAAGGGTTAACTTAGAATAGTTGGCTGTTTCATTTCAAAATTAATTTATAGTTTTGCCACTGTTTAGATAAAACTGATTGTTAAGAAAAATCTATGATGAAAACAAAATGATAGAAATAGTTTATAAAAAACGTGACAATTTTCCAGTTTAATGTTTAACGAATTTTGTTTTTAAGGAAAGCAATCCTGGGGCTTGTTAAGCTTACAGGGCAAACAGTGTCTTGAAAAATGCTAGAGTCAGAGTTATATCGATAAAAAATTTTGCTTTGTTGAAGTTCAAACGGCGTTGTTGCAGGATTCTGGATATCAGAAAGAGAGAGTGACGTTTATTTAGCGTTAGAAATAATCCAAGGGAAATGTTTGGATTTTATCATTTTTAAAGTGGTATTGAATTTTTTAAGTGGTAATTAAATTGAGAAAACATATATTTTACAGCCTTTTAACATTTCATTTCTTCTTGTTAAAAATAAATAAATAAGTGCAAATATTTTTGCAATTAAAATGGATCAAAGAAAAAAATAATAATATGGCTTATTTCATCAAATTAATATAAATTTTAACGCCATTTTCCAATGGTAAGTATGTTTATCACTACCAATAAGGAACTATTAAGAAATAAGAAACTCAAAGATTTTTATTTTTATTTACAAACGAATTTTATGAACATTACAAACTGCAAAGAGAACTATATATTTATATGACTTTTTATACATTTCCTAAACCTTTAATATAGTCATCTATTTTATTCAAACGTACTTCACTACTGAAACTACTAACACCAAATTGAGGGTGAGCATACTAACCATGATCTATAAGTGTAAAGAAATATAGATAATTTTTTTTTTTTTTTTTTTTTTTTTTTTTTTTTTTTTTTTTTTTTTTTTT